TGGCGACGCACTAGCAATGTTTCTCTTGACTCGTAACCCATCAATCAAACCCCCACAACCTCTCAATTGCGGGAACAACCCATCACACAAAGCAATTGAAGTACAATCCTAATCCGCCTTTCTCTCTCTTGTTTCTTGTATCTTTCTAGTTTGTTATCTCCCCTTTTCCCAATCAATTTTCACTCAATATCTCTTGAATCGAGTCGATTAAAGCCTTTTCAACCTCACCGTAGCTTTTGCTGAACTTCCAAGTTGTCATTCATTGAGTACGACACTCGGGGTGGTTCTCACTCCCCGTTTTATCATGTCATCCACATTTTCATATACGACCCTTGCAAACTTAATCTTTTGACGCCACTTCATAAGGAGAACCATAAGCTAAAAGCGGTTCGATCAATAAACATGGCTAGTAATGTTATATGTGATTGGGAAACTTAAATATCATTTCCTCGAAAGATATCTATAAGTCCCTCTTGAAAATATCCTAAATATATCCTCTAGTACATTAATTTCCGTCCAAATATCTCGAAATAGCTAGAGAAAAGACCATCTAGATAATGAGGATATTTTTTGGACTAGAAGTCCATTACTTCATTGCTAAGTGGATATATTTGAAGGATAATAGATATTCGACCCACGTATGCTCTAGAAGAGTCACGAGATAATAGTATAAAATGATAATTTCTAACGACAATCCTGAAGATTGTACTATATCCCCTCTGTACACCTTTTGAAACAATGACTTTACTTTAAGCCATGTAGAACTTGAAGATTGTTATCTTCAGGTGGAGACGGGAAGTACATTCATTCGAATCAATCCTGGAGATTGGGTCTTAAAAGACTAACAATTGTACTTATTTACAACATATACATACCATGTACTCTTTTCCTCAGATCACTAGGTTTTTTTTCATTGGGTTTTTCTAGTGTGGTTTTTAACGAGACATGAGTATGATATAGCAATGTCAATGGGGAAATTGCAAGTAAATACTTAAATAGACAAACCCCAAAATCCTGAAGATTATGCCTTGAAGGCTTATAGTTGTACTCTTTTTCCCCTTAACTATGTTTTTTCCACGGGGTTTTCTTAAGTTAAGGTTTTTAATGAGGCAACAAATAAATATATGATTCCTACATATATTATGTACTCTTTTCTTCAACTAGGTTTTTCCCCACGTGGTTTTCCTAGTGAAGTTTTTAACGAGGCATGAATATATTTTTTTTTTTGAGCAAAAGGCATGAATATATTTAAATGTACTATCCATAGTACTCTCTTCTTGTCTAGGTTTTTCCCACAGGATTTTCCTAGCAAGTTTTTAATGAGGCAAGATCGTGGCTAAATAATGTCCAAGGGGGGGGGGGGGTTATAAATAATATATTTAGTGTGGCCATTATTATTATTGATTATGTAACGGTTAGGAGATTAATGACTACATTATGTCTTCCCTTATATTTAATTTATATATTATATATGTTGTGGTTGTATGTAATATGAAGAGTAAATACCCAAAATGGTCCCTCGACTATAACTAAATTCACAAATTGGTCCTCGACTTTCAATTTCAACCAATTAAGTCCTTAACTTTGCAATTTTGACACGATTTGGTCCTCCATCTATTTGACCGTTTGTTGACTGCGATCTTTGAGGATATATATGTAGTTTCACGTGCAAAGCTCAAGAGAACGCTCTTGGAGGTGACATCGTTGTTTCGGATGGGGAAGTGCTTCTCCGCTTGCTGCTTGGGGATCACAAGCCGGTTCAGCTTAGAGAACGCACTTGGAGGTGACATCGCCGTTTCAGAGGGGGGAACTGCTTCTCCGCTTGCTGCTTGGGGATCCCGAGCCGGTTCAGCTTGCCTACATCGCTTGGAGTCATGGCTTTCTCGAAGAGCCACTCCAGGGACTTCAGCGATCTATCTATCAAAAGCTATAATCTCTCCGGCATGGGGTGCAGCGCCAGCAGTGGATTCAAATGTAACAGTGCGGTCTAGAAATGCAACCGGAACCTTAAAAAACCGATGATGGACCATGAAATTACATATATATCCTAAAAAAGCGCAGTCAACAAACGGTCAAATAGACAAAGGACCAAATTGTGTTAAAATTGCAAAGTTAAGGACTTAATTGGTTGAAATTAAAAGTCGAGGACCAATTTGAGAATTTAGCTATAGTCGAGGGACCATTTTGGGTATTTACTCTAATATGAATGACACAGATGAATAATAAGATGATCTTCTTGCCTTGTCTCTTACTTTCCCTTTTCTGTAATTCCTTTGATCATGACATATATGAATAATATGACATATATACAACCACACGTGCACTATTTTTTCTTTTTCAGTAAGTCGCATAGGCGTCCGCCTAGGCGCTACCTTACCACCCGACTAGCGCCTAACGCCTACTGCAACCATGTTTATGATTGAATCATAATTTAGAATGAGATTTTAGAGGCGGAGAGTTAGAGTTTGGTAATTATATATACTTGGGGTTATATTGTGAATATAAAAATATATTAGGTATGTATGTATGTATGTATCTATATAAATAGGCCAGACTTGTAGGCTTGAAGGTCGAGTCTGGTATATATAGGTCTAACCTGTTTAGTTTAATAGGCTTTCAAATTGGTCTAAGCCTGGCCTATGTACTAAACAAGCTAGACCTTAATTATGCCAGGACATAGGCCCCTACAAGGGGTCTGGCCTATTCCCACCCTCAGTTGTAGTTTAAGTTAAAAGGGTAAAATAAAAAAAATAGAAATGTAATGATGTTCAATTTAAGAAATCGGACAATATTTTGAGATGGATGAAAAAGTAAAGTAAGACAAACAAAATGGGACGGAGGGAATACTAATAAGGAATAAAATGTCTGTTACTTATTATAAGGAGAAATGTAATACTTTTACATTTTTTATGTAAAAGTATTATATTTTCCGTCTAAAGCATTACATTTTCCTTAATAAGAAATGTTACGATGGCAAGTGTTTGTTACTTATAAGGAAAAAATATAATACTTTCGCTGAAAAAATGTAATACTTTTAAGTCAAAATGTAAAAGTATTACAATTTCACTTAAAAGTATTATATTTTTCTCATATAGGTAATAAAGATTTTATTCATAATTAATATTGCATTTGTGTGTATAAGTATTACATTTTTATCTTGACTTGATCGATCCATCTCACAGACTCACAGTGAGACGAATTCACATAAGTTTTTTTTCAAAGTAAAAAGGAATAAGGGTCAAATAGGCCACTGAACTACACACGAGAATGCAATTAGGCCATCGAACTTAAAAAACCTACAATTGGGTCCCTAAACTAATCAATTTCATTCAATTTGTCCATTTTTCAAGTTTCTCAAGTTGCTAACAAGTTACCCCTCCACCTAAGATGCATATGTGTCATTTTTTTTAAAATAATTTATTTTTAAATTAGTTTTTTTAATATTTAATAAATAAAAACTAAAATAATTTATTTTTAAATTAGTTTTTTTTAATGTTTAATAATTAAAAACTAAAATAATTTTTTTTTGAAAATAAAATAATTTGTTAAGACGTCGTACATGGCTTGGATTTTATTTTTTTTTTAAATTATTTTAGTTTTTATTTATTAAACATTAAAAAAATTTAATCTAAAAATAAATTATTTTAATTTTTATTTATAAAACATTAAAAAAACTAATTTAAGGTTTTCAAAAAAAAAAATTTTTAAAAAAAAATTTTTTAAAATGCCACACATGCATTCTAGGTGGAGGGGTAACTTGTTTGCAACTTGAGAAACCTGAAAAATAGGCAAATTGAATGAAATTGGTTAGTTTAGGGACCCAATTGTAGGTTTTTTAAATTCAGTGGCCTAATTGCATTTTTGTGTGCAGTTCAATGGCTTATTTGACCCTTATTCCAAGTAAAAATATATGCACCATCGTGACAACTAGCTCAAGAACATTCAAGTGATTGAAAGTGAGCGACATTTCGTGGGCACGTGTCTCACAGGGATGCACCTTTGTAGTTACCACTCAGAGTTGACCAAAGACCTATCCCCACAATCAAAGTACGTAGTTGACCTTCCCAAATCCCAACCTCTTTTGCTCTCTCTACCATCGTCTTACCTAACAATATAATATCTCATGCAATTTAATTGAGTCAAATATATAGACAGTGTTACGTTACTAATTTTCAAATTAAATTTTGTACTTTTTGAAGCAATGTTATTTATATAATTTAAAAATTTATTCCAAATACCATTAACACTGTATTTGTATAGTATGTGTAGGGTCTTGTCTATTTGTCATCATATATCTCCTTAATTATTTTATATTGTTCCGTACAATGAGAGTAATATATTATTACAATTTAAACCAAATGATAAGAGACCAAGTCCTCCTTAAATGGTTGAAAATTCCACAAGTATAATAAAATTGTTAAAGCATGAAACAAAATTCCTGCTTAATGCACCAATCAACTATTGTTTTATATATAATATGTTCCTTTCTTTCTATAAGTAATTATCAATGACAAAAGTTAGAGAGATCGAAATTTTTCATTAAATATTTTGTCATATATATAGCATGATAATAAAATAAAATAAAAATATTATTTTTTGATTACCATGAATTCATTAACTCTACCCACCTTTTAAAAATAAATTTTCTTATTAATTGAATACGAATTATATATTATCATGTTTGGTGAAAAATTTTGATTCATTTAACTTAATCAATTATCAACCAATGTGTTATAGAAGAATTTCTCCATCAATATGCTTGTACGGGTTTAGCTCACTGGTTCAGTAGATACTATTTGAGACAAGAGACCAATGTTTGAAACTCGACAGTCACAATGTGAGGATTATGTCCAAAGTGAACAGATCGGTGCACTGACATTTGGCAATGTTTGTTGAGCCACTGACTTACCCAGATTTACGTCCTCTTGGGGACAAGAATTTCTCCGTCAATATGTTACGAAGTACTTTGGATAGATAAATTACAATTAATTCAAGAGTTGATAATAATATGGTTTTTATTAACTGAAGAAGCCCGTATACTTAAACACACGAATTAAGCCTTTAATGTACTGAAAGTACAAGCATGTAATGTAACATGAATACTAAGAGTGAGAAATAGATATTCTGTTGGCATATGTTTTTGAAAGATCAATTTCTTGAAGTAAACGGAGTCCATCTAAGTTCCAGTGCAGAGTAGAGATCCATCAGATCTGAAGAGTTTGCAGCCCGTTCCGGCAGTGCAGCAGTTGACACACAATGGACGAGTTGGCTTGTTTCCTGGTGGGCACTTCATCGTCGCCACTCGTTGCTCGCAGACTTGGGCGCACACTTTGCCGCCATCATACTGCCCATCCACCCTAATCAAAACAATTCCTAGTATCCAAAAAAATAAAAAAAAAAAAGTAAATTAAAGTTATATATACTCCAAAAATCAATAATTCACAAGTAGAAAATCTCAAATTTTCGATCATAGAAACATCAATCTGGGTTGGGTATTCAAAAACATGTTCATCCATATCTCCCAACACCAACCAAATGTGGTGGGTAACACCAATCGTCAATAAAAGTTCATTAGAAAAAATTTCAAATAAGAAGATTACAACTTTAACGATTAAAATGTGTTTGAAGCTTTTCATCTATACGACCCATAAAATAAACAAAATAGCGTTCTAAATTAAACAAAGGAAAGTTTGAGATAAAACAGCTTACCGTACACAAGAAGAAAAGCCAGGAGGATCCCAACTTTGTTGACTGCCATGTTTCTTTGTTCTTTGATGACTTTTGGGGAGTTGTTAGCCCTCTCATTTATAGCATACAAATGCTACTACAAGACAAGAAAATATCGAAATATGATAATTAGAGAACCAATTCAAGCTGGCCGGATATATGACTACTTTTCGTATCACATTAATTAATTAATTAATTAATTAACTATGACTACCTTTGTCCATTTGTAATTTAGTAACAAGCTGGATATAGACCAAGCTTAACTTCTGGACTCATATGGAAGGATTGTTTGGATCACATTGGCATTCGTCTATGACAAATTATGCTGTGGAACTGTGTCCACCTTACCTTGCAAGCTAAACACGATTTCAAAAATGTTCATAATTATAGATATATAGTTCAATAATTATGAACATATAGTTCAATTCTATAATTATGAACATAGAATTGTGAACATAATTATGAACATATAATTATGTAATTATGAATATAGAGATTCAATAATTGTGAATATAAAAGTTCAAAAATTATGAATATATAGCTTTATAATTATGAACATATAGTTCAGTAATTATGAACATAGAGTTCTGTAATTGTAAATATAGAGTTCAATAATTATGAATATGAAGTTCAAAAAGAGTTCATACCATTTGAGGTCATCCGAGTATAGTGATTTTGCCACGTTTAGTCCTAAACTTTCAAATTGACCATCTGTAGTCCTTCGACTTTTAAATTTAACCATTCGTGGTCCAAGTTAACCACCCATGGTCCTTCAAGTTTTGAAATTTAACTAGTCGTAGTGCTATTGAAAGGACCTTGGTTGGTTAAAATTTAATAGTTGAAGGACCATGTGTGGTTATCTTGGACCACAAATGGTTAAATTTGAAAGTCGAAGGACCACATATGGTCAATTTGAAAGCTTAGGACTAAACGTGGTAAAACCACTATACTCAGAGGACCCAATGTGGCATTATCTCAGTTCAAAATTTATGAATATATAGTTTTATAATTATGAACATATAGTTTAGTAATTTTGAACATAGAACCGTGTCCATCTTGCAAGGTGGACATGGTTCCACAGCATAACGATTGTTCATTCATCTAATAATATTATTATTTGCTTTTATCATAATTTATTAACATTTTGTACATATAATGCGCAAAAATTCATACGCAATTATTAAAATATTCATAATTTATTTCTCTCACTACCGTTCGCGAGCTCTCTAACCCTACTTTTCTAGGGTTCCGGCGTCTTCGAAGAAGTCATGGCTTCTGACAATGTTAACGACATCTTGCACCTGTGTACGAATTTGACTCTAGCTGATGTTGATGATGATGATATGGCTATGCAAGTTCCGAATGTCCAAGTCGAAAGAGAGAACCAGGGAGCAAGCTTTTACGCGGTTGGCAGAGTCGTCACTAACAAGCAGGTTAAGTTTCTGTTTTTCCAAGATACTATGGCATCAGTATGGCAACCAACGATAGGGGTGACCATGAGACAACTACAGCATCAACGCTTTCTCACCCAGTTCTATCATGAAACGGATCTGGCTAGGTTTTAAGGGATGGGCCGTGGACTTATGAGCAGAATCTACTTGTCATGAAGAAGGTCGAGCCGGATGATGACACTGAGACTATCCCTCTTAACCATGCTGAGTTCTAGGTACAAATACATACTTTGCCGGCCGGACTCTGTTCGAATGCAGTGGTCTCTGCAATTGGATCATTCCTGGGCACTCAAATATATATTGATGAGAAGAATTTCGGTGGATCGATGAGGACTTATTACTGTGTGCAAAAGGCAATAGACATCACCAAGCTGTTGAAAGAAGCCAAGAAGGGCATTAAGGACAAGAGTCAAGAGGGGCACTAAAGTCCTTTTTCATTTGTATTCTGTTTCAACCGTTCTTCCCCATGTGCATCTTGTATATAGCTATAGTTTTTTTTCCTTCTAGCTGTATTCTTTTTTTACGCAAAACAGATGAAACAATGCAGTAAGTTTTTCCTTTTTTCACGTTCAGTTTTTCCCTTTCCGTCATGGTATCAGGGCCTCCACGGCGCAGTAGTTGCGCCGGCGCCGTCTCCGATGAGCCAAGTCAAGACAGGCATGCAGCATCGCCAGTCAATCGCTCGCCGGCGTGGCCTTCTTTTACGATAATTCCGCAGCGGAATCTGATCTCTCAACCAAGAAACTATAGCCTGGAAAATCCTCTTCTCCTAAATGCGAATGACAACACTAATCTTTTTCTCGTCAATCCTCCGGGATGGATTCCGGGATACAAATCGAAAGGGAAGCAAACTACAGCTGTGAGCTCATCTTCTAGCACTGTTAAGCCCTCAGGAACGCCCTCTGATCAGTTGGAGAGACTGATCTCTCTTCTCCAAGCCCAGATCGAACAGTCTTCGAATCAGAAATCGAATCAGAAAACCATGGGGGCTGTCTCACTGGTTCCCAACTTCAACGAAAATAGTTCTGGAGGTAACGACAAGTATTCTTCCTATCTTATCACCTTCTACTTGGATCCTTGACTCTGGAGCTACAGACCATATAGTCTGTTCTATTGATTTCTTTCACGATTATCACATCACTGATAACACTGAAGTGAACTTGCCTACTGGAGAGTCTATCAAAGTAAGACATCTGGGTAATATTAGACTCAATGAACAATTATGGTTAAAGGATGTGCTTCATATTCCAACCTTCAGATTCAATTTGATATCTGTGAGTAAGCTTTTGCAAGATACATGCCATAAACTTGTTTTCTCATCTGGACATTGCTTGATTCAGAACACCCTTGGGAAGACAATTGGTTTGGCTAAACATGTGAATGGTTTATACTTACTGTTGGATTCACCAAAGATGTAGGATGTTGTTCATAGAAGTGTTGCAGCAACTTGTAATAATGCTGAAATTTGGCATCAAAGACTAGGTCATTTTCCAATGAATAAACTACACTTCTTGAATGATATTAAAGCTTCTGTCATCAAAAATTTTGCTTGTGATGCATGTCATTTTTCCAAACACAAAAGATCTCCTTTCCCGTTGAGTGTCACAACCACAAAAGGATGTTTCGATTTAATACATGCATATATATGGGGGGCTTTCCCGGTTTGTTCATTGCAAGGAGAACATTATTTTCTAACATTAGTTGACGATTACTCCCAGTTCACTTGGCTTCATTTAATGAAAAGAAAGACTGAAGTTAGACAACATATAATGAATTTTCATGCTATGGTCTTTACTCAGTTTGGGGCTTTGATCAAAGTAATCCGAACTGACAATGGAGCAGAGTTTAGTATAGAGGAATTCTATGCCAAGAAAGGGATCATCCATCAAAAATCTTGTGCCTACACACCACAGCATATAGTGAATATTTTTATTACAAAGAAGAGTTGAAAAGATGATAAGCTGAATAGACTGGAATGGCCTCATATTTAACGTCATTTAAAAAGATTTGCTGTTGGAAGATAAAAAAAAATAAAAAATGATCACGCTATAATAGTAATACGACCAATGAAAAATATTTTGAAATTTTTTTTTTTTAAGTATAATAATGCATATAAATTTAGGACAAAAAATATAATTAACTCTAAACAAAATATGCATAGTCAATCCCATGATGTTTGTTGCACAATACTTCTCCAAACGTCTGTCGCATTAACTGGTAAACATATGTTTGACAGTTTCTAAATTTGACATTTTTTGAGAGCAGCCGGCGAACGGTTGTAACTCTTTTCCTGGCCGGATACCCTCTTTCAATTTAATTATAACCCGGTTGTTAGCTGTTAGCTGATTAGGTTAATTAGATGATATAATTAAGTAGTTGATAATATTAGTTGATTGTAGGGAGATGTTTTGTAAAATAGCTGTTAGCTGATAGCTTTTTGATATAATTTCTTTTCTCAAAAAGCTAATTTGATCAGCTTTTTGAATTTTAACATTTTGGAGTTGATTTTTTAATCAAGTTAAACAATTAATAGTGGTCAAATAAGCTAAAATTAATTTAATGGCTAACATTTTACCAACCACGACCTATATCATCAATTTGAGCTTACTAATTTGTAATATCTGATTGCCCATTTGCACATACGTGGATAACTAATTTTCTATTTAGAAACATTTTTCCAAATTCATTATTAATTATTTTAAAATGTATGATTGTAATTACTAAAATGTCAATCGAGTTATTATTATTATTATTATTATTATTATTATTATTATTATTATTATTATTATTTTAGTTTAGTCATTAATTTTCTTAAATGGACGAATGAGATTAACACATTCCTACCGGGAATATTTCTTATTTTAATCACAATCTCATATATTTCATTTGATTTCAATCCTATATATATGAGAGGATTGATGTGAAAACAGGTTTTCATGTGTAAAATGTGAAAATTGATTTGATCGAACCATTTTTGTAGATCAACAATTGAATGTTGTTGAAAAATAAAGGAAAAAAATGATGCGATCAATTTTATAAATATTACAAACTTAAAAAAAATATAAAATAGACCTTGTATTTTTATTTTAAATTTTTTACTTAAAACCTCAACCATTGATCCAACCATTTTCATAGAACACAATCCTCAAGTAAAAAGTGAGAACTGAACTTAGCCGACAGCCGCCCTCGAGATTC